GTTTCTAGGTCCACAGTTGAATTAACACAGTTATACAATATTGAATTCAGTATAAGCCCTGTAAGACACAAAACTGAATGAGTTTTTAACCTTTAAAAAAGATCTCCATTTCATTTTAGAATATATTGTTCCTTGCAGAAAGACTCATTGTTTTTGCTACTGACACTGAGATGTTGGTGCATGCATTTCTGTGGTCACTGCCAGCGGCAGCTGCTCCTCCATTCTCACGGGCATCAAGGCTGCTCCTCCACTCACCCTGGGCTGAGGCCTCTCTTCTGCCTGCCCTGGGCTGAGGCCTCTCTTCTGCTCACCCTGTGCTCCTTTCTGTCGTCGCTGCTTCTGCTCAGTCCTGGACCCTGTGGCTGGTGAGGAGACTGTGTCAGTGGAGCCACATTCAGACACAGAAGACTGGGTTCAGTGACACAGATCTGGTTTATTGCAGGACGGCACAAGCTTACAAAAGGGTAGTGGTCCAATCACAGCACAGCAAGGAGGATACCTTATTAGCATAACAGGTTTAGCATCCTATCACAGTACAGTAAGTAGGATACCTTATTAGCATAACAGGTTTAGCATCCTATTAACATAATAGATTTAACGTCCTATCACAGAATAGTGGGTAGGATGCCTTATTAGCATACTGAGTTTTAGATTACAGAGCCTGGATTCCTGGAAACCAGGTGACCCTGACTGTTGCAATATCTAAGTGTTGCAATTTTGGATTCCAAGGGTGGTGATTAGGGAGTGGCAAGATCTAGGCATCAGTCTCATGATCTGCCAATGGGAGCAAATGTCACAAGGCTTTTCTTGTGGCTTGGGCCTGCTGTATGACTGACATTAAGACTTTCACCCTAGGCTCAAGCCTGTCTCCCACACATCTCTAATCTGTATGCATGTGATTATTACTAGTCAAAATCGGTTGCACTTGGATCCTTGGTGCCTGTGTATGTCTATAAAGTCATTAGGCAGATTTCAATGGTAATGTTTATCCCCCCTGCTAATTAACATGATGTAGATTTTCATTCTTCCTCCTCAAATATAATACATTTTTTAAAATGTGTTGTTTTTTTTTTTTTGTATGTGTATATCACACAAAACATCCCAAACCATCTTATTCAACTATACACCCACTTCCCAGATAGCACTCTCCCATAGCCTCCCTCCCCCCACTAGAGCCCTTATACTCTGATATCCCTGCTGTCTGCTGTGTTGTTGGCACCCCCAGCCATTCCCCACTACTTGCCCATCTGGTGAATCTAGTCAGCCTAGCTAGAGTCCCTTGTTTTAGGAAGGTCAGCTTTTCCTCATCTAGCAGTAATCAGTTGTCAATATTCCTTTAGATAAGATTGGAGTCTGCTGTTCATTTTCCCAGTTCTATGCTGGGTACTATCTGGGAATCCCTTTGGTCACCCTGGCCAACAACTCAAAAGAGGGTATCGCTTGTCTGGCATAGTTGCTTGTTATGTAGCCTTTAGCTATTCTTATGGACTCTTATGAAATTATGTTGGCCCACTTAATCTTTGGTTATAGTTTCCTTTTGGGTGTTTTAAGGCCATACAGTTGGTCCAGATAAAACCGATTTAATTTTACTCTTAAAGTCATTTGAGAATCTGTTCCTCAGGGGTCACATGGGCTTGGGAGGAGCCCCTGGCTCCTTTCTTTTACCAGTTCCACCTGTGTGAAGATAAGTCAAATGTCCTACTCGGCCATGGCTGGCTTCACTTGGAAGCATGGAGGAAATGATTCCTCTGTGTTGACCCTCTTCTTTGTAGACTGGACACTGGTTCAAGTCCATCTGGTGGGGTCTCCTTGGCCTCCTTGATCAAGAGGACAGGTGACCCACCACAATTACAAGACATTTTGAGAGATTCTCATAGTCCCCTGTAATTAGTCGACCTAGGAGGGCAAGTAGCAAAAACTGTCCTTTATGTCCCTCTGACCAAATTATTATAGGCCTCAAAGTATGGATGTTAAACATCAAGAAGGTTAGTTCCGCAAGTCTGGTACTTTTAATTACTCCTTTATGTAGATAAATCTGGGCAATCACCAAATGTTCGCAGATAAACCTTACCTAGACATATATTTCTTGATCTGCTATGTATAATTTGTCAGTACATTGTTGGAAGAATATGGTTCTCTCTGGTTTTTAAAACTAGCTAGGCATTACTTATCTCTCACATTGTCTCGCCCCTCCATCATGGTTTCCCCACTTAAGGTGCCCCATTTTCCCCCTTTCTCTCTTAGTAATACCCTTCTCCTATGGTCCTACCGCTCTTGAGCTCCTTCTTTCCCTTTATCCCCTACATTCTTCATGTCTGGATACATACTCATTTATCAGGGTTTGGTTCTAGGATCTACATATGAAGGAGAACATATGTCGATTTTTTTTCTGAGTCTGTGATACTTCACTTAGTATAACAGTTTCTAGTTCCATCCATTTACCTGCAAATCTCATGATTTCATCTTTCTTTACTGCTGAGTAAAACTCCATCGTATAAATGAACCACATTTTCATTATCCACTTGTCAGTTGAGGGACACTTAGGTTGCTTCCATCTCTTAGATATTGTGAAAAGAGCAGCAACAAACATGGATGTACAAGTGTCTCTGCAATAGGATGAGTTCTTTGGGTATATGGTTTCCTGGCATTTTTATACCATGGGATAAACAATAGGGTCCTGTACCCTGTGGTGGACTCCTGGGAATCGTGTACACTGTTGACTTTTCAGATGCTGTGTGGTTTGAATGGACATGTCCCCCATAAGCTGCTCCAAGCATTTGAAACTTTGTCCCTGCTCGTGATGCTGTTTAGAGAGAGTTGTGGAACCTTTAGATGTGGTCATACCGGAGGAAGCATGTCACTGGGGGTGGGTTTTGAGCATTCACAAGCCTTGTTCCTACTTCCAGTTTGTCTTTCTGCTTCGTGTGCCTGATTGAAGATGTGATTGCTCAGTTTTCTACCACCCCACCTCCTGTCATGCCAGTCCCACCGCCATGAACTTTTATCCCTCTGGATAAGCCCAATAAACTCTTCCTTCTGTAAGTTGCTTTGGTCATGGTGTTTCATCACAGTAACAGAAAAGTCACTATTGCAGATTCCTAAGTGAGCCTGCTCATTCTCAGGCCTCAGCCTGGCTTTTGTGCAAGACATGTTTCATGAGACAACATTGCTCTGCAACTAGCTAAACAAAAAGTGAAATGTATCTCCAGCCTCAACTCAGGGAGAACCAATTTAGGATGAATCTCAGAACTCTCAACAGCAAAAAGGATTTTGGTTAGTGCTGATACTGTGGATCTCCTGAACCATTCATCACTCAGTAAATATATCATTTATGCAAGGCACTATGAATAGTGAACGAAGCAGGCATGATTATTACTTTCCTGGAGACAGTCTGGTGTCAGAAGCAGCAAGTAAATATGTAATAAATATACTGTTATAGATTGTATAAGGAGGAGAGAGTCGGCCTTTAAAGGAAACAACATGGGGCTGGAGAGATGGCTCAATGGTTAAGAACATTGGTTGTTCTTGCAGAAGACCTGGGTTTGAATCCCAGCTAACAATTCTCTGTAACTCCAGTCCCAGGGGATCCGACAGCCTTTTCTGACCTCCACGGGCATTGCACGACATGGGTGCACTCACCTACATGGAGGCAATACATGTATGCACATAAAAACAATAAATAAAAAATTTTTTAAGTTAAAAAATAAATAAAACATAAAGGAAACAACACGAGAGCTGCATCCTATAAGTAGAGTAGGAATTTAGCCATGCGCTTAGTAAGAGAGGAAAGCATTCCAGGTGAAAAGGGGATTTTGGAACTATGTTATCTGGGAATGGCATTACTGTTGTCATCTTGATATTAGGGAAACTACGATAACACACTGAAACAAGACTGAGCCCACTAACATTCATTCATGGAAGGAGTGGGAAGGGTAAATAATATCCAACAAACACGCACGCACGTGCATGCAGAAACACAGGAACACACACAATAAGCTCCACCAAGGTAAGCATGCATTGTCTTGCTCAGAGCTAGTTCAGCTTTTCCAGGGGTGACAACCTCCCTACAAGAACATGCCTCTCACAAAGGATCTCCTTCATCCATCTCCAGAAGAGAAGAGGAAACACAAGAGGAAACACCTAGTGCAGAGCCACGTTCCTGCTTCATGGATGTGAAATGCCCAAGATGCTGTAAAATCACCACAGTCTTTAGCCATGACCTGGATGCTCCGCTGTCGCCTGTGGGCCCACAGGTAAAGCAAGGCTTAGAGAAGGCTGTTCCTTCTAGAGGAGGCAGCACTCAAAGCTCGCTGAATCAAGATGAGTGAGAAACTGTCCCAGCAAACACATTTTGGATTAAAAAAAAAAAGCTAGTTCTTCCAGAACAATGCCTGCATAGACAGCATTAAATAATATTTGTAGAAAAAAAAGACAAAAATCAAAACTTTTTTTCAACTATCAAATTGGCAAAGAACAACATGTAACACTGTTGACAAGTACAAATATTGCCAGCAGATTTCATGGTGAGACATATAAATGGCTAGGCATGGTGGAACACGCCTGGAACCCCAGCATTCAGGAAGCCGAGACAGGAAGATCAGGAGCTGGGGGCCAGGGTGGGCAATATAAAGTATGACGCTGCCACAAAAAGCAAGACCCCACAAATGTACAAATGTCCCTACTTAAACAGTACCAATTTTATACAGACCACAGACTGTTGAAAGAACCCAATATGGAGTACAAAACTAAATGGGGGAGGCACCAAAAATCAACAACAGTGCAAGTGAGAATCAGTTCAAAATCAGCCATGTGACAGATCTCAAGTGTTTCTGGAAGCACTCGCCTGTGTTGCAACACACGACTTCACTACAGATGTTCTGAACACACGGCACGAACACTTCACACCATTAAGACACACAGTGACAACAAATCTGCTTAAAACACCTGAGCTCAGTATTGCGACTTCAGTATGTCATGAAATGCAGAGTCTTTAGTGTGAAGGACAAAATTTATTGCACTTAGGGAGACATAATGGCTTAATTATGAACAACAAATATTCTTAATAATTTTTTACCATCAAATTTGTGTATCTTTGGTCATACTGTGTTTGAATGTTTGATTTTTAAAATTACTGTTTAAGTTGCTGGTTTAAGTGGGTCAGGCAGGGTGGAACACAAGTAATCCCAGCCAGCACTTGGGAGGTAGTCAGCAGAATCAAGAGTTCAAGATCATCCTTAGATACATGAGTTTGAAACCAGCCTAGACTTTATGAGACTGTGCCAAAAACAAAAACAAAATCATTACATTAATTTTGGCTTGGGATTAGGGAAGAATTCGAACAATTTCTGAAATATCCCCAATGATATTTGCACATTTTATACCATGTATTTATGCAAAGTGGCATTCTCAGAACTGTCAGTCATAAAATTAAATATTGATCAACTCTGAAAAATGTTGAAGGTGTTTGGTCATATCAAATATTCAGCCAAGACTTAATTCTTTATGTAAAAACAATTAAGTACATCCATCTCAATAGTGTTCAAATTTGCTTTCATCTTTAATAGATGGTAAAATTACATGTATACTGAAGAATTGTTTTAAAATAAATGTATGACTTATCAGTAAATGATTTGTATACCTAAGTTATATAGCTATATATACGTCGTGTGAAAATTTCTTAAACGAAAGCCATCGTGGGTGAAGAAGTTTAAAACGCCCTGTTACAGACAATGGATATATTCCTACATATGAAAAATTATGTATTCTGACGGTAACGTATTGCAACAGCGTTTGGAAAACTGCAAGCAACCTACATGATCATCAATGGGATAGTCAGCTAAAATAAAGTGGCACACAATACACAGTTGAATTAGATCCAAGAACTATCGGTAGGAGGAAAAACAAGCAAGATACAGAATGCTAGTTTGTGCGGAGCCGACAAAGGGGTAATGCGTGTCTGCGCGGTACGTCCCGGAAAACCTGCCGAAGCTGGAGGCCTGGGGACGCGTTTTTAAGAAGCTGTGAATGCATTACTTATGTGCTGCTGACTTGGTAGTCAGACCTCAGTCTCCAGACGAAGGCACAGAAGCCGGGCTCTGTGCTGCAGGGGTACAGGGACCGGGGGCAGGCTGGGGCGGCCGGAAGTGCGCGCTGCGCCTGCGCAGTGCGGCCGAGCCCGAGTCTGGCCTATGTCCCGCAGCGGGGGCTCACCGGTTCCTAGGCTGAGGTGAGTACCTTCACCTCCGGGCTCCCAGGTGGGGACGAGGGGCCGCCGGCTGCATCCGCAGCAGCCCCCGCCGTACACCCCTCTGTCCTGGGTCCACCAGGTCGCCGAGCCTCGGAAGGCCCTGGGGGAGGCGGCCTGGTGACCCGTTTCCGGAAACATTTATTCAGCCCCTCCCGGGTAGGTGCACAACCCCTGCAATCTCTTAGCCCCGGGAACCAAGCAACCGGTGCATCTGAGGATGCACGAGCCTTCTGGCAAAGCGGGGTTCTTAGGAGTTGCTTAAGTGCTAACTTGGCATACCTTGGTCATTTAATCTGTACATCAGCCATGTGCGGGAAAACACGAATGTTTTACATGAGAATCTGAACCCTAGATAGTAACTTACTCTACTCAGCACACAAACCAACGGTGTACCTACCTCGCTGTTTGACTCGGTTTGGAGGCTTTGCTTCATTAGTTTGCATGACTGTAGCAGCTTCTGTCCTTTCTCTGTGATAATTTTGTATACCTTAGGGGTGTGTTTGAGGCAAGATCTAAGAGGTCCTCCTGGAACTGATCCCAGATAGAGAATTCATCTCCCTGATAAGGCTCAGAATGGCCCGAAGAAACAAAAGGACTTTTTATAGTTAAGGGAGAGGAGCGTTCCTAGGAGGGCACAGGATTCTGTCCCACGAGAGGGAATTCTGCAGACAGCACTTCCGGAAGCTCTGCTATCAGGACGCACCTGGGCCTCGGAAAGCTCTTGCCCAGCTCTGGGAGCTTTGCTGTGGGTGGCTGAGGCCAGAATGCCACACCAAGGAGCAGATCTTAGACCTGCTGGTGCTGGAACAGTTCCTGAGCATTCTCCCTAAGGACCTTCAAGCATGGGTGCAGGCACATCGTCCAGAGACTGGAGAGGAGGCTGTGACTGTGCTGGAGGATCTGGAAAAAGAGCTCAATGAGCCCCGAGCGGAGGTGTGTTGGCTGGGTATTTGGCCTGTGAACAGTCAGGGTTTCTGTGCCAAGTCAAAACAAAAGGCATAAGAAAAAGTACCAGAAAATAGTATTCACACACTAGAGAAGTGCAAGGATTAGGAAGGGACAGGACTCCCGGAGTCATAAAACTAAAATGTGTTTGAAGAAACTTTAAAGGGACTGAGTCTCTCTCAGTTTGGAAGGCTAGCATCAGTAGGAAAGTACAGGAAAACTACATGAGGAAAAGAAACTTGTAAACAGTCAAAACTACACCAAATTGGGCTACCCTTTCCACAAATATGTTCAAGTAGGAATTCATTAGGTACCAAGGGTACTGCAGAACAGCATTGTCCCAAACAACAGTAACAATAATGTGACACTAGAAGAATGACATTCTCCAGTAGTTGCATAATATTTGATACTTTTATTAAAAATGAGAAGCCAGGCATGGCTGTGCATACCTATAATCCTAGATCCTGGGAGGCTGAGGCAGGAGGATTTCCACAAATTCACCAGGCCAGTCTGAACTATACAGTAGGGCCCTGCCTTAAAAATAAATTAAGTGGGAGCTGGAGGCATAGCTCAGCAGTTAAGAGCACTGCTCTTGCAGAGGACCCAGATTCAGTTCCCAGCACCTACATGGTGGCTAACAACCATCTGTAAATCCAGTTCCTGGGAAATCCAACGCCCTCTGCTGGCCTCTTCTGGTATTGCATGACATGGGTGCACTTAAGGTACCTGCACTCAGTACACTCATACACATAAAATAATGAAATATTTTAATAAGTAAATAAATACATATGGGATTAAGTATATTTTACTTAATAGTTGGCCATGTAATCACTATAAAAATATGAGACATTCAGATTTTAGGAGTTCTACTTTCAAATTTAATTTTTCTCTCAGTTTACACTTCCAAATTTTAAGTACTCAGCCACATTTTGCTAGTGGCTACAGTTTTGTATAGCATGAATATAAAGAATTTCCCATTGGGGCCAGATGATTCCTTCAGGAACATTCCACATCCTAGACCTCTGTAAGATCAATGGAAGAAGTAAGATAATTCACTCTCCAATGTCCTTAATTATAAGGATTAGCCTTCCTCTTAGTTCTTACTGCCATTTCAATTGAATAAAAATTATCTCCATTTCTATGCCTGTGGTCCTTAACAGATGCTTTTGTATATGTTTTACTAAATTTCTTTAAGATATCACAAATTCTGACAAACCCAATCATCCTCTTTGTTGACAGGACACAGTCAGTTCAGAAGGAAAGGACATATTCTTGGACAAATTGGCCCCCTTGGGAAAGCCATATAAGTCACTGAACTGTCCAGCCCCAGCCAAAGAAGACCTCACTAGAGCAGGAATCTGGTAATGGTAAGGAGCCAGAGTTGCGTGTGTCGAGTGGAGGTGATATCTTAGGTTCACATGTCTCTATCCATTACCTGTTTTAATGATAAAACATCACAGACTGGATATGCTGTAAATAAAGGAGGTTTATTATTTTGGTTCATAGTCCTGGTTTCAGGTCTGGAAGGTACCTCTAGTGATGGCCTTCATACTGGCAGAGTCCCAAGGCAGCATAGAACGTCACATCAGGAGACAAGGAATGTGTGTGTGTTTGTCCCTCCTGGTCTTTTTGCCACTTCTGTGTATAAAGCTACCAGTGTTCAAACCACTCTAATGACCTTATTTAATTCTGATCCCCTTCCAAAGGCTCCATCTCTAAACCCCATATTCTGATGAAATTTCTACCCACTTAACACCTCACAATGGATACTAGACTCCAACATAGGTTTCAAAGAGGACAAACAGTATTAAAACTCTAACAGAGAAGCTTCCTCATTTTCTCCTTTAAAAGATCTCTTGCTTGTCCTTCAGCTGACTCAGAGAAGTTTATGTTCTTTTTACCCCTGTCCAGCACAGCATGAATTTTTCTTACTGTACATGAAAGATGCTGTTTGGCCCAGGGGGTATAGGGTAGAGTTTAAATACTCAAAATTCAAGTTAATAATGCCTTATTCTTATGTTACCTAATAATTCTTGTTCCAGATTCCCTTAACTTTACATTTTGAGACAGCAGAATTTATAGCACGCTGTTCAATCAGCTAGAGTTGCCTTAACAAAACACTATAGACACAGACTGGGTAATTGTTTCTCTCCCACCCTGATGAGGTTCTTTCCTTGGCTTGCTACAGTCTTCATGTCATGTCATGTGCAGCTTTTTTTTTTCCTTTTTCTTTGGAGACAGGATCTCCCAGTAGCCCCAGCTGGCCTGGAACTTGCTATGTAAACCATGCTGGCCTCCAACTCAGAGAGATCCACCTGCCTCTGCCTCCCAAGTGTTGGGATTAAAGGTGTGTGCCACCACACCCAGTTTGTATAGCCTTTTTTCTGTGAGTACACAGTCCTGCTATCTCTTGCTCTTATGAGGGTCAGTTCTACTGTATTAGAGTCTCACCTAAGACCTAATTTAACCTTTTCAAACAATGTCACATTAAGGAATAGGGGCTTCAGCATATGTACTTTGGGGAGGACATAGCTCATTCTGTAATATAACACCAGGCTGAAAGAAACAGGAAAAAGCAAGAAATAGTGTGGCAGAGCTGTTTCAAACCTTCCTATCATGTTGGTTTAGTCCACATCCCAGCTCACTAGTGCCTAGGGTAGCCCCAGACCACACAAAAAAGCAGGTTATGTTTATAGCTCAATTTGCCTAGACTGTAATCTGCTCCTTGACCTTTCTCTAAAATATTCATAGCCATAATGTAGCCCCTGGGGAGTACCTTGTATTCTGGCTAATGTTTTGTTTTCACTATATAAATTTTAGGATCCCTACCAGGTGATTTGTCAAATCTGAAAAACCATTTTAAACTAAGATGTTCCTACATGATACCTTGACAAGCTGATCTTCAACTTCATATAATTTAAAGAAGCTTTTCAGTCCTTTAATCTAGGAGTGGAATGCTGGCTGCATGCCAGGCATAGTAGTGTAGAAAACACAAAAGAAGACACTTGATTTGCTTCTCTTCAAGAAGCAAAAGAGCAGTTACAGAGCTGTAATTACTATACCAGAGATATGCGTGAGCTACAGGGAAAGGACACTATCCCTGTGCTGGGCCTGCAAAGGTATCACTGAGCAGTGGGAGGGTGAAATGCTGGGGACTGGGAACAGGACATTCTGGGTGGAGAGAAGAATGAAAACTAAGTAAAGCACATTGTAAGAACAGTGACTGCTTTGAGCTGATTTTCATTTGGAGGCTTTTGTGGGAGAGAGTTAAAGGCCAGTGTTGAAGAGTCCTAGATACTATGCGGATGGGCTGGAGAGCTGCACAGCAGTTGAAGGCGTGGGCTCACAACTAAATGCTGAGGAACTAACACTTCATCTTACCGAAAGGATTCCTGGTATGTTATTTTAAATAAAAGAGTAAGTAGTAGATGGTCCCCCTTTTTGAAGTTCCTATGTAGAAGAAAAAAAGATTGGTAGGGTATCTGCAAATAGCAGTAGTTATTTCAAGAAAATGAGATCAGAGGCGACTTATTTTCTTTTTCACTACTTTTCAGAGTCTGTGATTGAATGCGAAACGAACTACAGTAGGGAGGAGACATAAACATGAAGAGGGAGGGGACGACTCAGATAGAGAACGAACCACCAGAACCAGAATAAATAGAAAGGAAGGAAGGGGACAGTTCAAGAGTTTAAGAAGTACTACTATCCTCAGGCCTCTTGGGGTAAGTCTACAGCGCAGCTCTCCGCGCTGGGACTCCCTAAGCCACATTCACCCATCCCCCCCCCCCCCTCGCCGTTCTATACTCCTAGTTTGAGCCCTGAGCCACTCCGAGTCTTGGGGCCCCAGACAGCTGGGGAAACAATACTGCTTCCTGACCCTTCTCACCCAGACCAACTCAGTGCCTTTCTTGGGCCCCAGGAGCACTGCTTCTGGTACTGGCCCCGC